CCGTCTGGCCTGGCAAGTCATTTACAACACGAACGCTAATAAAGCAGCAAACAGGAGTCACATGGCATCAGCCTCTAACTGGATGTTTTGTACACGCTCGTCTTTGCTAATAAGAATTAATGAACTGAAACAAAAGATTTGATATGAGCTGATTTCTCAGCCTCACAACCTGGAACTGGGTTTAATGAGCAGCAAGGCTGTTGAGTAATTCTGCTGTGAGGAACTTATTTTTTTGCTTTATAACATTGTTAATATCATGTTTACGAAAAAAAAGACCTCTGAACTTGGAGACCAAGAAAACTTGATGTGTAGTATTTCACCATTTTCCAAAATTACACAATCAACAAAAAAAACAGCTCAATTTTTACACTCCAGAAAATGTAAACAATTTAAAAAAAAAGTGGATATGAAACACTGACTGACTGCTTACTCAGTCATGATTTTTCAAAAGGCATAAAAAAGAGCAACAGATAAAAGCAAACAAATATTAAAGGCAAAGGCAGCAGGGGCAGAGGATGGCTCGCTGATGAAGATGAAAAGAAAAGTGCAAAGACAAGAAACAGCAGAGCAAACAGCAGCAGAATGAGAGAGAGCTAACATCATCACAGGAGCAATGAAACCATAAACACAGCACATGCAATCTGATCAGTTTTAGAGTGACTGAGTTGAAGGTGGTGACTGGATGGGAAGGACTTGAGAATAGTTTGAGGCAGAGCTGTGATTGGACAAAACAGAGCCAGGCTCTAAATAATCTATACTTTTGTTTATTCATTTTTAAAATGCTACATCAGCGCTGCACAATTACTGCAAAGGGTGCCTTTTAGAGCAACCACAGACAGCATAACAAGAACGTAAATTCTGGGTCTAAAAAAGTGAACCTGCATTCTTTTTACAGAGGGAAACTCTTGTGTTTGCAGAAAGCATACTGGTTGTACAGAAATCTACAGGAAAACCACCATACAGCTCTATTGCTCTGTGGCTCAATGACTAGTTCATGATGAAACTCTTTTTGTAACATTTATGACTTTTCCAAGTGTCAGAAAAGAGGATTATGTTCACTGGCTACGCACCTGTCAATCACGTTATTGGAAAGTGAGAGTCTGGTCCAGCCCTTAACTGGTCATACTTTTTTATCACATATGAAGAGTATGAAGAGTATAAAACACACAGATGGCTAAAATGCTACCAGGAGCCTGAAAGGTAATGACATGGTGGCTACGTCCGTCTTTTATGCTGTCTGTGAGATTAACATGTAAACACTGTCAAAGACTTAAACATTTATTTGCGAATGCAAAATTCAAAGCTCTGCTTTCAAAGTATTTGCCTCTCTCTCCCATCCAGGACACCAACAGCTACATAAACTGCAGAGGAGACAAAAGAAAACTACACGCTGAAAATGAATGAAAGAATAAAATCAGTTAGTTGATGCTGTGAGGGTGTAAGCAGAAAGTTAGTTCTGTGTGTCCTCTGTGTTCTCTCAGCAGTAACACTAACACGTATGATTAGGTTAATAAAATAACGACATAAAATCCTTTTAGCAATGAACAGTGTATTTGAAATGAACCATAACAAGCATGTACTCCCTGAGCGTGATTGCTGAGCAAATCCACAGAGGAAACACTGGACAGCAGCAGAGAAGCCAGAGCAGGTGAACGATTACAGAGGCCTAGAGGAACGTGACCACTTTTGTACAAGACTGTATTTCTGCAGTGCCGCATGGAATATGCATTTGTTTGTCAGTATCTGGAGCGACGTTTTATAGCAGATTTCATTAGATGTTCAGATTTAAGCTTCTGAACTTGATCAAGACTTTTTAAAGGCCAATTCTTTGATTTTGTGGCTGTACGGCTATAGCTGTAGTGTGATATTGAAATCTTTCTCCCTGTATTTTATTTTGTTGATGAAGTTAAAAGCTGGGAATGTTTTCTGCAGGATACATTTTGTCTTGAACTGAAAAATGACTCTCCAGGTGTTCTGAAATATGTTTAGTCACCGTGCAAGCCAATTAGATCAGCTGTAAATGACCAAGAATGGAAGCATGAACTAAAACACACTGCGTGAGGATGAGAGAGAAAACAATCTCTCCTTTAGCTTTTTAAGCAGGCTGAAATGAAAAATATGTCTAAACAAAAAAAACAACAACAAAAAACCCAGCAGTGATTTTAAAGTTTTTCAAAGTTTTATCAATTTAGAGATGCAAAAGAATTTCAGCAGGGAAAAGGAAAAGCTCTGAATCCCATTCTGGCAGGCCACGTTTACCCACTGACCCGGCTACCTGTATGTTCGGGGTCGATGGTTGAGGGTAGCGGTGCGGGCCGGACTTGGAAGCTGTCCCCCTGCCATATTGTTTCTGGTAGGGCTGGAGACATAATCATTGGGTACAACAGGGGGGCGCACAGGCTCCAGTGTCCTGTAGGGGGAGTTCTTCCTGTACATGCAAAACGTAAGGGTGAAGACAGGGTTAATGGGGAGACAAATTTGATCCTGGCGACAAAAGGTTTGCTCCTGTAAGTAACATTAAATAGCCACAAGCACACTTAAAGCATCAGTATTGATATGCAAGTACACCTTAATTCTGCAAGTGAGCTAGCTATAGCCTCCTTCCTGCTGTGGAACAAAAAGAATAAAATCGGTAAAGGTCATGTTCAAAGGCCAGTGTGTATTTTTAGAGAAATAAAATTCCTCCCACGTCACAGAGCTGTATGTAGAGAATAAGGACGAGTGAACGCCAACAGAGGAAAACAAAAAACTGACCAAAATCAGAGTGAAGCAATGGATCAGCACAATAAATGTCACTTACTGCATACACATAACACAAAGCAGGCACAGTGTCCACCTGGTTAACTCCTCCTCACGAATAATTACACAGTTACATCTAATATTTCAACAACCTATGAGTCATGTAATGCACCAGCAGTTATCACTGTAAGCAAAGAAAAAGACTGCATGATTTCCAAGCAGATTTACAGCCATTTATTTGGACTTTCTATTGGGGTTTCCCATTTATCCCATCTATTCTGTCTGCATAGGATTCTGTTATTTCACCAAGTTTAAAGCGCGCAGTGTTAATCCAATCCGATTAACACTGGTGCTAAAGAAAGAACAGTCAAACTTAGACGGTGAAAACTCTCTGAATCGTCTGGGTTGTTATTTATGTGAGTCGTCAGAAGGCCTGTTGATTACAGCATTACGCCAGCTCACTGCTGTGATTTGTTCCTCGTCTCTCCACGCACGTTTGTGTTAGAGTGTGTGTGTGTTAGAGTGTGTGTGTGTACAGACATTTGGCTTGTGCACCAAAGCTCCAGTCAACTCAAAGTTCCAGCCAAGTGCTGAGCTGCTTCTGCTCCCTCATCCTTAGGAACGCAAACACTTTCTCATCTTATTTGTTGTCATACTGCACCAAATGTCAGACTTGTGGACGTTCGGTTTAAAAAGTAGAATTATTTAAATAACAGAGAACTAGACAACTACCTATTCCTAACTTCTGTGTTGCTTATGAAATGAGACTGCAGTAGCGCAACATTGTAAGACTGTGTTGCATTACGGGTTGTTTGCAGTCTTGTGATAATCTTTGGCTAGTCAGGGCTCTTTCAGCAGGGAAAAAATCCTGCCGTGCTGTTCAACATGGTACAACAGGTGGCTGATCAGCAGGTTACAGGAAATAGGAAGCAACGCAGCAGACAACACAGACTGAATGAGGCCACCTATCAGCCTACCTGCTGCACACAGACAATCAAAGTATTGCAATAAATATTGTAATAAGGTAATGCAGCAGCACGTAAGTTAGCTCCTCTAACTGGAGTCACTGACCTGGAGCTCTTAGGTTTGTTATTGCTGTTGGTGCCTTTTGGAGCATTTTCATGGAATTTACCCACCATTATCACTTAGTAACTGATGTGGACATTCCAAGAAGCTTGTGGTTCTCTTTTGGTGAATTCGATTTTACATGGCTGTAGCTTCCAAAAGTGAATCCAGTAAATACATAAATACAAACCTGCATCCCTTTTTTTGGCCACCAGCGGATGATACCTGTGGTTAGAAAAAGGCTAATGGTCCTATAGAAGTCTGTGGAGAAATCAACCAAAAGAGGTTTAGAAAGTAGGATTATCCAGGAAATACTTATTGGTTAGCTACATGTGACTGACAACTCGTTAGCCAGGTAGTGTGTGGTTTCCTGGTAACATCCACACCTTGGTTGTCAAGTATCACAATACCAAGAGGGTGACGTCAGGTCAAGATGCTCATGTGAATCTCATAGTTGCTACAGCCGTCTTTTATACTGTCTCTGGCTGTATTCACAATGCTGCCTAGCGTTAGCTACTAATTAGCTAGTAAGCACTCCATCATTTTAATCCAAATACAAGAACTTCTGGCTCAGAAGTACCAGCATGGTGGAAGGTCCAAACTCTTACGCTAAAGCCTCAAAATGTTGGGTCAAAATCGACAGCCAACATAACAGTGGTTACATCCATCTTTTATATTGTCTATGGTATATAGACTTATGTGTATTGTGCTAGCTAATTCTGCACACCTAAGCAGCATGGAAAGTGATAGGATGACAGCATCTGCGGACTGTTCAAGACCCAATATTTACTCAAGAAAGCTGGACCCAGAGAAAGTAAGACAACGGGAATAAATAAGGAATAAGGAATGAGAAAGTTTAAAAAAAAAGAGAGGAAGGAGTGAAATCGAGATGAAGATAAGGAGAGAGAAAGAATGAGGGCTACAGCTGGGTGACCTAGATGTTTGAGGGGAGAGAACACAACAAGCTTTCACAACGCATGACGTTATTCCTCTGAGCACTGCATTTTACCGTGTGTGTGTGTGTGTGTGTGTGTGTGTGTGTGTGTGTGTGTGT